ACAGCTGGGTTTCCCTTTTTTTGTTTTCTTCTCAGCTTTCCTGAGGGAGGGGTGGAAAAGCTGAGGGACCTCAGGAAAAACTTCCCAAGTGAGTTTTTCCAGGATTTGCAAGAGGCAGTTTTTCACTTGGGTGGTGGCAGCCACGAAGCCAAGATCAGAGAAAAGCTGTAACCTTTGGGGTTTAATACAAGCGTGAAGTGGCAAGTATTAATTTCCTTACGGACCCCCACCTTCTACACTTAGAGTGCCAGAGTGGAGAACCAGCCTTGACAAACTCACTTGTTCTTTTTACTCACACGTTTGCCACATACAATACTCTTCACAACTGCAGCAATGGCTCAACACATTCGTTATAGCTCTCGGCTACATTTCACTACCTAAATGAATTAAAGGAACAGATACAGGGCAAGACCTAAACCTTTGACAAGTTACATGGTTACACTTTAAAAAATCCTCATACATGCTAATCACCATCTGTTAAGGCTGAATCACCACTCTGTCACTCCGAGTGCAGAAGGTGGGGGCTCGCAAGGATTCTAAAAATTAATACTGACCACTCCATGCTTGTATTATACTCCTTACAGCTTTTCTCTGACCTTGGCTTGGTAAACGCTGCCACCACCCAAATGCAAAAAAGCCACTTTGAGCCCAGGAAGGACCACTTGGGAATTCCTCCCTGTAGGGTACCCTCAAACCCTTTCACCCCCACTCTGGGGAAGAGCTGAGAAAGAAAACAAAGAAAATTAGCTACCAGCTAATCAAACAACTAATCTTAACAAAGGTAAGTTTTATTAAAAACAAAAAGGAAAAAATTACATCTGAAACTTAGGCTTTTTACTAGATCTTACAAGAAACAATTACAAAAACTAAGCATCTAAAACAGCTTTCATGGAGGTTCAGCTTAAAGGTTACAAGCTAACAAAAGCATCTGGGGTTAGAGGAGACCCACAAGCCAAAATAAATCTAATCCCATCTATTGAACCATGCCCTGTTCAATAATTTCTTCTACATATGGAAGATGAATGTTTATACCTGGTTCAAGTCTTACACAGCATTGCTGCTCCATCATCCTTCTCTGGAGAACAAGATACACAGACAAAAGGAAGTTTCCCCCCACATTTTAAAAAGTTCTAGCCTTCCTATTGGCTCTTTTGGTCAGGTGCCTACTCCTTTTCCTTTACGTTGTTAACCCTTTACAGGTAAAGCAAGCAGAGAACAGCCACCATAGCTAGCTGGCTGGCTGTTCATAAAAGGGAGCTACCCCCCTACACACTTTATTTATCACACTATCCCAGGTGTGAGAGCAAGTGAGCGCAGGGTATTGGCAGGAGGGAGACAGAGCAGAAAGATTCAGTGTGAAATGTTTTTCTGGGCTGCCCTGCTCTAGGGCAGAATCAGAAGGGAGGGAATGGTCATATCCTCCTCCACTAGGACTTTCATCTAGCAGCGCCATGTGAAAGCAGGTGTGATTTCCAGTGCTGCGAGGAGCATTGCAGGTGCTTTTGATGGGAAATCAGAGAGTAGAGTTTGTACCAACTGCCAGGCACACAGGCAAGTTGCTCTTCCAGACTGTGCAATCTTTATTGCACCCACAAGACATTGCCATTGAAAACTGCACAAGTCAGTCATATGATAACGCTCCTGAGAGTTACGCACCATCTCCAGACATTCACGCAATTAATGCTGGCAGGGCCCTCCCTACAGCTGTCCTGCCTGCTGGAGCCGACCCCCCTTACACACGCTGGTGCTAGCCACGGCCCTCAGTGCCTCACACCAGCAGGTGGCTTCAATTTGGAGACATGAAAGGAAACCCCTTTCACCCCACCCTATCAGAGATGGGTCAGCAAATTTAGATCTTGGCAGGGTCAGAGGCAGAAACCCCCCAAAACACAAACCATATGAACCCACCACATTCCCCCAAACTATCCTTGCCCCCCCAAGAGGCTCAATGTGAAAGGCATCCCTGGGTCACTTAGCTCTACAGTCAACAGGGAGGAGAACCTGAGCAGAGAGACCCTCCTTCAATCAGCAAGATTTGTGGCTGGTGCATACTGCAAGCAGGTGTGATCTCCAGCTGTATGTGCCATTGTTGCAGGCCTATTGCCCTGTCACTGAAGCAGGACAAGAGGGGAAATAAAGGTGGTCTATGAATAGGGTTCCTAGGTGCTACAGCAATACAATAAATAAATAATAATAAATTAGGAAAAGAGGTTGGAGAGGCTGTATGGTTTGTTGTGCAAGGGAAAGCAAAAACCTACAACATGTGGTGTTCCCAGGCAGTCTTCCATCAAGGTACTAACCAGGCCCAACTCTATAGCTTCCAAACTCAGGTGTATTCAAGGTGGTATGGCCATAGACAGCCTTTACTCTAACTGTGCTCTTTTTCAGGGCTTGTCTACACTGGCAAGTTTTTTCAATGAAACTAGTGTCGCCAAGGAAAAAATCAACAAAAGCAAAGTCGCCAAAGCATGTCTTCGTTTGCTCCCTCTGTTGACAGAGCGTGTTCACATTTGGGACACCTTTGTTGACAGCGAGAACAATGGACTATGGGGTATGTACCTGGGGAGGGATAGCTCAGTGGTTTGAGCATTGGCCTGCTAAACCCAGGGTTGTGAGTTCAATCCTTGAGGGGGCCACTTAGGGATCTGGGGCAAAATCAGTACTTGGTCCTGCTAGTGAAGGCAGGGGGCTGGACTTGATGACCTTTCAAGGTCCCTTCCAGTTCTAGGAGATGGGATATCTCCATTAATTTAAAAAAAAAAAAGTGCCAACACCATCTGTTGCTGGGAATGTGGAAACGGAGTGTGGCACATCCTAGGATATGCAAAATGTTCCATCATGCACTGCTTTGTGTCCCACCCCTCCAAAGTTTTCTGGCTTCCTTTGTGCCATTTTTCCAACTGTCATTCCTTTGTAGTGTGCACCAGCATCTGTTGTGAGGATATCGCGCATGGCAGCAGAGTTACTTGCAAAGTTAGAAGAGGATGAATCGCAGGCACCTGAGTGTGATATGGATGGTAGCAACTTATCAGTGTTTTGTGCATTCACAGAGCAGCTACATACGGTAGACCATCGCTTTTGGGCTAGGAAAACAAACACTGATTGGTGGGATCGCATTGTCATGCAGGTGTGGGATGAAGACCAGTGGGTACAGAACTTTAGGATGTGTAAAGCAACCTTCATGGAGCTATGTGCTGAGCTGTCCCCCGACCTAAGGCGCAAGGACACCAGATTGACAGCTGCCCTTTCGGTAGAGAACTGTGTTGCAATCTGTGTGTGAAAGCTGGTGAATCCAGACTGCTACCAGTCAGTTGCAAATCAATTTGGAGTAGGAAAGTCCACTGTTGGGGCTGTATTACTCCAAGGGTGCAGACAATAAATTGCATCCTGCTGTATAGGACCGTGACTCTGGGAAATGTGCATGAAACAGTGGATGGCTCTGCAGAGATGTTTCCCTAATTGTGGCAGGGCGATTGATGGCACACACATTCCAATTTTAGCACCAGATCACCTTGCCTTTGAATACATCAATAGGAAGGGATACTTCTCCATGGTTTTGCAGGTGCTTGTGGATCACCAGGGGCATTTCATGAACATCAATGCAGGCTGGTCTGGAAAGATGCATGACACACGCATCTTCAGGAACAGTGGCCAGTACAGAAAGCTGCAGGCAGGGACTTTCTTTCCAGACCACAAGTTCACAGTGGGGGATGTGGAAATGCCCATAGTAAGCCTGGGAGACCCAGCATACCTCTTACAGCCCTGGCTCGTGAAACCTTACACAGGGCACCTGGACAGCAGCAAGGAGCGTTTTAACAACAGACTGAGCAGGTGCTGCATGGTAGTTGAATCTGCCTTTGGCCATTTGAAAGCTTACTGGAGGTGTCTCAATGGCAGGCTAGACCTTACCGAGGATCATATTCCTGTGGTCATAGCCACGTGCTGCACTTTGCATAATCTGTGTGAATCTAAGGGTGAAATGTTTGCTCAGGTGTGGAGCACTGAGGCAGAGCGCTTGGCTGCATAGTTTGAACAGCCAGATGCTAGGGCTGTCAGAAGAGCTCAGAGGGCTGCTATTAACATCAGAGAGGCTTTGAGGAACCACTTTGACAATAAGGGGCAGTAACACGTCTGCTTTGGAATTGCTTCCCTGGTGCATCCATGTACAATTTTGGGGCCTAAGATCCAAGCAACACAATGCTTTAGAAGCCTGTTCCCAAGAGTCAATTGATTGCTATACATTTTTGTAGAACATAGAATAAAAACGCTGTACCATTAAATACCTTAGCCTTTATTTATTGTTAAAAAGGGTAAAACCTCACAACTGTGTATAGCTCCAGCTATCATTGTGCAACCTGTGAGGGGGTGGAGTGATGGCGAAACTCAGGAGTGCTGTGAAGTGAAAAGGAATGTGTGGGCATAAAGGGGGGTGAGGTTGGCAAAGAATTGGGCATGTGCTGCAGTGGCGGTCGAGCCTGGATCTGCTCAGTCTGCAGCTGTATCAAAGACTTGAGCATCTCTGTCTGATCCTCCATAACTTTTATCATCCGCTCTGTCACTTGCCCAGCAAAAGCAGCATTCTCTTTTCTGTCCTGCCTTTCAGCTTCCCAGCACTCTTTCTGTTCCCTGGTCTGACTCTCATCGCACTGCAGCACCTCCTGGAACATATCTTCTTTGCTGCGCCTAGGGTTTTTTCTTATCTGCCGAAGCCGGTCTGCGGGCAGGGGGGGTGATGTGTCCTTCAAGGTCTGTGCTGAACAGAAGAGAGATTGTTACATTCCAGCAAATGATTGAAACATTGTAGTAAAAAGGGCATTTTGCTAGTAGAAATCACTTTCTCTCTGAGACTCTAAGCAGGCACACAGCTCCGCGATCACCCCAATCATGGTAAGTGTCGGGAGTGGGGGGAAGACGAGTTGTGTGTATGGACAAAAAGGTCACGGCTTGCAGGGCAGCTTTGCAGGGAACTCATTTTAAAATTATCCCACACTTTTTCACAGGCGGGCAATCTGCTGACTGACATCTGACTGCTGCTGAATGCTTGCAGTTTTCACCCCGGTCTATATGCAGCTCAGCTATGTGCCACTTTGGTCCCTGCTCCAGTGATTGCTAAATGGCATGGTACAGTTTCCTACAATGGGAGAACTAACAAGGCTGCAATCCCTTGGAATCTGTGGCAGAGGATTAACAAGTACCTCCTGGAAGCCTTCCAGAGTCTCTTTCTGGAGGATTCCCTACAGGTCTCGATGTGCATCGACACCCTGCTTGGCCATGCAGATTAGCTACACAGAAAACATTACCTGCCTGCCACTTTTCGATTCCCTACCCAAGCCACAGCAACTTACCCGGCGTCTCAGCTCACAGAAAACACTACCTGTCTGCCACTTTTCGATTCCCTACCCAAGCCACAACAACTTACCCGGCGTCTCATCTGCTTCCTGCTCCCCGTTGAGCACTTCTGGAGTGGAGAAAAGTTCCTGGCTGCCTGCCCCACCGCGCGACCCCGATGGGAGCTCCACTTCTTCTAGCTCCAGAATTTCAGCCTGCAGGTTACCCCCTTTTTCTGCTGCCTGTGAAGTATCACGGGGCTATCGGAGATGGAGTTGGGGTGACCACTGAGGATAGCATTCAGCTCCTTATAGAAGCGGCAGGTCTTAGGTGCACCAGCAGAGCGATGGTTCGCCTCCCCCCACAACTTATGGTACACCTGCCTCAGCTCTTTTATCTTTGCTCTGCACTGCTGCATGTCCTGATCATAGCCCTTTTTGCACAAGCCTCGAGAAATTTGCCCATATGTGTCCCGATTCCTACGGGTCACTCGCAGCTGCGACTGAACAGACTCTTCTCCCCATATACTGATCAGATCCAACAACTCAGCAGTGGTCCAAGTGGGAGCGCTTTTGGTGCGATAGCCAGCCATGCTCACCTAGGAAGCTCCTCTGGGAAGCCAGCAAACAGGAAATGAGATTTAAAATTCCTAGGGCTTGCAAGGGGGAGGGGTGGCTTGGCTGCAGGGCAGTGGAGTTCAAACCGCTGACCAGAGCGGCAGCATGGGAATTGTGGAACACTTTCTGGAGGTCAATAAAATCGGGGGTGGGAGGGAGGGCGTTGTGTCTACACTGCATGTTTGTCGACAATAAAGGGAAGGGAAAAGACAAAAGTCTCTCACAAGGGTGGAAGTTTTTTGTTGCCAAAACTAGGCGGGGATTTTTTTTCCCGAAAAAAGTCACATTGCAGGGTGTACGCTATCGCTGTTTTGTCGCCAAAAGCCAGTTTTTGGTGAAAAAACTTGCCAGTGTAGCCAAGCCCTCAGTCTCATCCCTGCCTTCCCTACTACTCACTGCACATCCTGCAGAGCATGTCACTACACATACACAGCACAACTCACACATGCTGCCTTTGCCCACCCGCTCTCCACATTCCCTAATCACCACGCACAACATGCTTCACAATGACAATTTGCAGCTCTTGGCTATAATTCACCTCCTAATTAGGGCTGTCTGTTTTGGTTGGACATATTCCTGGAGGTTTCATCACATGACAATCTAATTAAAGATTAATCTTTAATTCCTGCAGACTCTAGGACAATCCTGGAGGGTTGGCAACCCTACTCCTAAACCAACTCCATGACCCAACACCGGGCAAGGCCCTTCAATACTTTGCAGCGTCGTACTTCAAAACATTCCCTCCCCCTCCTCAACCCCCCCCAAACCTAATTCAAGACATACACATGATTAATGTGGCTTGCTCTGTACCCTCCCATACATTTCACCCACCGTACACACTTTTCATAGTGCTTGCTCCATGCCCTCCAGAATTAACACACTTACACACACACTGCTTCCACCCCTCATGCGCACACAGATCCACACATATTGCAGTCCCTTCACGCACACACAATGCTGCACCCCACCCCCACAAAAACACCCATGCACAATAAATGTTGTTTGATCCAGGGGCCGCTGCTCTGGCCACCCTCAGGACTGCCCACTGGTCATGGCTCAGGCTGCCCCCGGGACCACTGGTGCTCCGGAGGTCCCTGGGCCATCCCTGGACTGCTGCTTGGCTGGCTCCAGGACCAGCCGCACTGGCCGCTGCAGCTGTGGAAGTCACGGAACCCATGAATTCCACGACCCCCGTGACAGACTCGCAGCCTTATCCATAATTAAGGCATCGCTCACATACTCTGCACCACATACACACACCACTCTGCACACAATTAATACATCCTACACACACTGTCGTCGTTCCACCCCCAACTCTCATATACTGCATTCCTGCTGTTCCACAATTGATGCATCCTCACACACTTTGCAAACCTCCTCCTCCTCTACACCCACTTATCCCTGCCCCAGAGGAGAGAGCAAGGGAGCGGCAGGACCTCCGGTGGAGGGAGATGGAGAAGAAAGAGGGAAATCTAAAGGGAGGCAGTGGTTATGTTCTCCTCGACCAGAGCTTTCCTCTGCAAGCAGGTGATATTTCCAGATTTGCATGCAGCATACCAGCTGCTTTTGACTGGAAATTGTGGGGGGTGGTAGTGGTAAGGGGGAAGCAAGAGAATTTGTGAGGTAGAAAACTGGGTTTGAGAGGTGACTGCACAGGTGGGTTTTAGAAGCGTAGGCAAAAGCCTACAGCACCCGGTATTCCCAGTCAGTCTCCTATCCAAGAACTAACCAGGTCTGACGCTGCTTGGTTTTAGAGAGCAGACAAGATTGGGTGCATGCACCTGGCCATAGACAGCCTCAGCTTTAAACTTTGCCCCTTTTTAAACTGATTTTAGCCTCTCCTCTGCCACTCACACAGCGCCCACTGCAGGACACACTGCAACACACACACAAAAATCTTACTTGTTCTCCTTACCCATGCACCCTCCCCCCCATTCTTTACGTACTTCCCACAACTGCAACAACAACGGCTCAAACACATTTCTTCGCAGCTCTTGGCTACAGTCCACTGCCTAAACCAGCTCTAGGAACAAATCCTGGACAAGACTCAGACCTTTCAACACACGACATGACTACACTTAAAAAAAAAAAGCATACACAATCCAAACCCACTGCATCCTTCAAACCTATTATACAATTAATGCTGCCCTGATCCATTCCCTATTTTAGTCTATGTAGGTTCTTATACCATGCTCTTCACCATGGTATCTGAGCACCTTCCAGCAGTGCGTAAAACAACTGGTGATGATTTTAAGTGAGTTTTAAGTGTGGTAACTAGAAAACAGACAAAGTGGTTACTGGCTTGTTATTTTCTGTTTGCTTATTTCGGGACAGAAAAGTAGGGAAATGAGTGAAAGTGAAGCTACCAAGAAGTTGGAGCTCTACAGGTTGCAGGTAGAGGAAAATGAAAAAATACACCAGAAACAGATAGAATTAAAACATATGGAAATTAATGAGCAAAAGGCTGCACATCAGAGAGCCGTGGAAGCAGAAAATGCCTAGCCAGAAGCAGAAAAAGCCAGACAGAAAGCTGACCACAAGAGAGCCAGAAGTAAGCACTGGAGTTGAAAGACAAAGAAATTGAGGTCCAGAAGCAAGCCATGGAACTGAGACATAAAGAAATGAAGCAAGAACTGGCTGTAATGTAGTGGAGGAGACAGAACCCCCCACCAAGGGATTCCACCTCTCCAAAAATCCACAAGTGGGAGCAGCTGTGTCCACCATATAGCAAATCTGGGGACATTGCTGAATAGTTCATCATCTTTGAGAGACTGTATATGCTCCATGCAATTCCTGACGATCAAAAGATGGTCACAAAATTGACTGGGAAAGCTCTGGACATATTCAATAAGATGCCAACGGGTGATGCATCCAATTATGTTAAATTTAAGGATTTGGTTTTGAAAGTTTCAGATTACACCTGAAATTTATAGAGTAAAATTTAGAAGCTTTAAGAGAGGGGCTGGATTAAGTAATGTGGCTTATGTGAGCCAAATGAGAAATCTACTGGATAAGTGGGTGAGGGGAGAAGAAATTACAAGCTTTGAAGGAATGTGTGATTTGATTGCACAGGAACAGTTCCTGAATATGTCTAGTGATGATGTAAAACAGTGTTTATGGGATATAAAGGTGGAAACGGTTGATGAACGTGCAGTTTTTGCAGATAAAATTGAGCAATCCCAAGCACCTAGTAGGAATAAACCACAGGGAGAGGGGTTAAAGTTTGGTGGGAAGTAAGGTCCTCATTTTACCCCTGGAAAGGAGGACGAGGGTGGATGGGAGGCTGGACACTCACCCCCATCCCCCAAGTTCACTCCTCCAGTCCTCATCCCAAATCTCCTGTGAAAACAAAAGAGCCCAGAAGGTGCTTGTGATGTTGCACCCCATAATGCTTTACAGAAATATGCTTATGAGTGTAAATATGACATAACTGGAATATGTTTTATGCTAGATATACCATGTAACATATCTGCAAAGGTTATGATCTACTGGATATATTCATCCTATTTGCATGCATGTATCATTTTTGTATTCAAAGTTATGAATATTGGCTATGTACTTGTTTGATTTTAAGTAGCCTCAGTGAAGCAGTTGGTCAGCTTCTTGAGAAAAGACCGTTTTCAGTAAGTGACCAATCAAGAAACACTTAAGCTAACAATGAACTTTGAGAGACACTAATCCATATCTGAGCTTTCCTGGGAATGTGGCGTCAGCCTGTAAGGAACTGAGTCATGCATGGACATGTGATTTGCCCATGTGATTCAAACTCCATCTTGTAGTTGGATTCTGCATAGGAGAGGGGAAGGGGTTTCCACCCACAAGAGAGAGATTATATAAGCCCCTAGGGATGCCCCTCCATTTTGTCTTCAGCTGGCTCAAGAGGGCCTCTCCACCCCAAAGGATGCCTGAAGGAAACTGGAACAAAGGACAATAATTACAGGGGTGTGAATGATTGCTGGACCCAGACTAGGAGGAAGTCTAGTCTGTAAAAGAGGCTTTTTGGAACATCTCTGAGGGTGAGATTTACCTGCATTTAGTTTTTACTGTATTAGGCTTAGATTTGCGTGTTTTATTTTATTTTGTTTGGTAATTTACTTTGTTCTGTCTGTTATTACTTGGAATCACTTAAATCCTACTTTCTGTAAGCAGAGTCAGGATGAGTTCTACCCTGACATCTGGTGGTGAATTATGGCGAGTGTGGAAAAGAACTCCAGGGGCTGATCTTGTTTGCATAGGCACACCCACTCGCCTGGCATGA